GAATTTTTGGGGGATTTTTTGGGAGTTTTGGAGAGATTTTTTGGAGTTTTTTGGGGATTTTTAAAATTTTTGTGGGGTTTTTTGTGGGGTTTTGGGGGATTTTGGGGGGATTTTTTGGGGGGTTTTGGGGATTTTTTAGGGTTTTTGGGGGATTTTTTGGCATTTTTGGGGGCATTTTGGGATTTTTGGGGGGGGATTTTTTTGACTTTTTTTGGAATTTTGGGGGGATTTTTTTGGGTATTTTGGGGAGGGATTTTTGGGGGAATACTTTTGGTTTTTTGGGGAATTTTTGAGCTTTTAAAAATTTATTTTTGGGGATATTTTGGGTGGTTTTGAGGGATTTTTGGGGGATTTTTTGTGGGATTTTTGGGCATTTTGGGGGGGGTTGGGTGGTTTTTGAGGGGTTTTTCAGGGGATTTTGGGGATATTTTGGGGGATTTTTTGAGGGATTTGTGGGCATTTTTTGGGGATATTTTGGGGATATTTTGTGAGGGTTTTAGGGATACTTTAGGGATATTTGGGGTGTTTTTTGAAGGATATTTTGGGTGGGTTTTGAGGGATTTTTTTGGGAGATTTGGGGGATATTTTGGGGCTATTTCAGGAAGTATTTTGGGGAGGGATTTTTGGGGGAATACTTTTGGTTTTTTGGGGAATTTTTGAGCTTTTAAAAATTTATTTTTGGGGATATTTTGGGTGGTTTTGAGGGATTTTTGGGGGATTTTTTGTGGGATTTTTGGGCATTTTGGGGGGGGTTGGGTGGTTTTTGAGGGGTTTTTCAGGGGATTTTGGGGATATTTTGGGGGATTTTTTGAGGGATTTGTGGGCATTTTTTGGGGATATTTTGGGGATATTTTGTGAGGGTTTTAGGGATACTTTAGGGATATTTGGGGTGTTTTTTGAAGGATATTTTGGGTGGGTTTTGAGGGATTTTTTTGGGAGATTTGGGGGATATTTTGGGGCTATTTCAGGAATATTTTGGGGATATTTTGGGGCTATTTCAGGGATATTTTTGGGGATATGTTGGGGATATTTGGGGTGGTTTTGGGGGATATTGGGGTGCTTGTTCAGCGGTATTTTAGGGATATTTTCGGGCTATTTCAAAGATATTTTAGGTATTTTTTTGGGGACATTTTGGGTGTTTTTTGAGGGATATTTTGGGGATATTTTGGAGATACTTTGGGGATATTTTGGGGCTATTTCAGGGATATTTTGGGGATATTTGGGGTGGTTTGGGGGGTATTTTGGGGCTATTTCAGGCATATTTTGGGTGTCTTTTGGGGATATTTGGGGTGTTTTTTTGGGAAACTTTGGGCCAATTTCAGAGATATTTTGGGCGGTTTTTTGGGGCTCTTTGGGGTGTTTTGGGGGGATACTTTGGGGATATCTTGGGTGTTTTTGGGGGATATTTGGGGTGGTTTTGAGGGATATTTTGACAATATTTTGGTGATACTTTGGGGATATTTGGGGTGGTTTTTGGGGGATATTTGGGTGGTTTTGGGGGATATTTGGGGTGGTTTTGGGGGATATTTGGGGTGTTTTTGGGGGATATTTTGGGGATACTTTTGGGATATTTTGGGTGTTTTTTGGGGGATGTTTCGGGTGCTTTTTGGGTGATATTTTGGGTGGTTTTGGGGGTTATTTTTGGGGTGTTTCAGGGAACGGGATCGGTAACGGGATTGATAACAGGATCGGTAATGGGATCGATAATGGGATCAATGAGGGGATCAATGACGGGATCGGGGACGGGATCAATGAGATTGATAATGGAATCAATAACAGGATCGGTGACGGGATCAATGATGGGATTGGCAATGGGATCAATGGCATCAATGATGGGATCAATAATGGGATCAGTGATGAGATCAGTGACGGGATCAGTGATGGGATCAATGATGGGATCAATGGGAGCAGAAACCAGATCAGGGACTGGATCAATAACAGAATCAATAATGGGATCCGTGGGATCCAGGCAGTGCCTCAGTTTCCCTCCCAGACCCCGCAGGATCCCCCTGGATCCCCCTGGATCCTGTCCAATGCCCTTGGGATCCCTGAGGATCCCTCTGGGTCGGAAATCCCCAAAATTCAGGGGAAATGACCCCAAAAGGGGCAGAGACGAGGGAGTTTGGGATGGATCGGTGGGGTTTTGGGATGGATTTGTGGGATTTTGGGATGGATACATTGGATTTTGGGACCAATCCATGGAATTTCGGGATCTCGTGGGGTTTTGGGATGGATCTGTGCGGTTTTTGGATCTCTGGGATGCTGGGATGGATTTGTGGGATTCTGGGACCAATTCACGGGATTTTGGGATGGGTCTGTGGAGTTTTGGGATGGAATTGTGGGATTTTGGGATCTGTGGGATTTTGGGATGGATCCGTGGGATCTGTGGGGTTTTGGGATGGATTGATGGAGTTTTGGGATCTCTGGGATTTTGGGACCAACACACGGGATTTTTGAGGTGAATCCATGGGATTTCGGGACCAACCCATGGGATTTTGGGATGGATCTGTGGGGTTTTGGGACCAACCCACGGGATTTGGGGCGGATCCCAAGGGATTTGGGGATTTTGGGATGGATCCCAGGGGATTTGGGGGTTTTGGGGCGGATCCCAGAGGATTTGGGGGTTTCGGGGCGGATCCCAGGGGCTTTGGGGATTTTGGGACGGATCCCAGGGGATTTGGGGGTTTTGGGGCGGATCCCAGGGGCTTTGGGGGTTTTGGGACGGATCCCAGGGGATTTGGGGGTTTTGGGGCGGATCCCAGGGGATTTGGGGGTTTTGGGGCGGATCCCAGGGGATTTTGGGGCGGATCCCAGGGGATTTGGGGATTTTGGGATGGCTCCCAGGGGATTTTGGGGCAGATCCCAGGGGATTTGGGGATTTTGGGATGGCTCCCAGGGCTCAGGATCGATCCCAGCAGGATTCCCTGTCCCAGGCTCCCTGTTCCTGGCATAGATCCCAGTGGATCCCCATGGATTCTGGGGGGATCCCAGCGGATCCAGCAGAATTCCCACTCCCGGGATCCCCAGGATCCCCATCCCAGCATTCCTGGGATCCCTGAGATCCAGATCCCAACTGGATCCCAATTCCTGGGATCCTTGGGATCCACTGCTGTCAGTCCCAGCAGATTCACGCTGATTCCGGGGGGAACCCAGCGGATCCAGCAGAATTCCCATTCCCAGTGGATCCCTGGGATCCCCGTCCCGCCGTCAGTCCTGGAGGATCCCAGTGGATCCCAGCAAATCCCTGGGATCCCCATTCTCACTCTCAGTCCCAGCAGATTCCCGTTTATTCCGGGTGGATCCCAGCGGTTCCCTGGGATCCCCATCCCGTCATCAGTCCCGGTGGATCCTGGTGGATCCCCGTTGTCGCTGTCAGCCCCAGTGGATTCCCGCTGGTTCCAGGAGTTCTCAGTGGATCCCTGGGATCCCCGTTCTTGCTCTCAGTCCCAGCAGATCCCCACTGATCCTGGGAGTTCCCAGCGGATCCCTGGGATCCCCATCCCGCTGTCAGTCCTGGTGGAACCCAGAGAATCCCTGGGATCCCCATTCTTGCTCTCAGTCCCAGCAGATTCCCGCTGATTCCAGGAGTTCCCAGTGGATCCCCGGGATCCCTGCCCCGCTGTCAGTCCCAGCAGATTCCTGGTTATTCCAGGTGGATCCCAGCGGATCCCTGGGATCCCCACTCTTGCTCAGTCCCAGCAGATTCCTGGTTATTCCAGGTGGATCCCAGTGGATCCCTGGGATCCCCGTTCTTGCTCAGTCCCAGCAGATTCCTGGTTATTCCAGGTGGATCCCGGTGGATCCCTGGGATCCCCGTTCTTGCTCTCAGTCCCAGCAGATTCCTGGTTATTCCAGGTGGATCCCAGTGGATCCCTGGGATCCCCGTCCCGCCGTCAGTCCTGGAGGATCCCAGTGGATCCCAGCAAATCCCTGGGATCCCCATTCTCACTCTCAGTCCCAGCAGATTCCCGTTTATTCCGGGTGGATCCCAGCGGTTCCCTGGGATCCCCATCCCGTCATCAGTCCCGGTGGATCCTGGTGGATCCCCGTTGTCGCTGTCAGCCCCAGTGGATTCCCGCTGGTTCCAGGAGTTCTCAGTGGATCCCTGGGATCCCCGTTCTTGCTCTCAGTCCCAGCAGATCCCCACTGATCCTGGGAGTTCCCAGCGGATCCCTGGGATCCCCATCCCGCTGTCAGTCCTGGTGGAACCCAGAGAATCCCTGGGATCCCCATTCTTGCTCTCAGTCCCAGCAGATTCCCGCTGATTCCAGGAGTTCCCAGTGGATCCCCGGGATCCCTGCCCCGCTGTCAGTCCCAGCAGATTCCTGGTTATTCCAGGTGGATCCCAGCGGATCCCTGGGATCCCCACTCTTGCTCAGTCCCAGCAGATTCCTGGTTATTCCAGGTGGATCCCAGTGGATCCCTGGGATCCCCGTTCTTGCTCAGTCCCAGCAGATTCCTGGTTATTCCAGGTGGATCCCGGTGGATCCCTGGGATCCCCGTTCTTGCTCTCAGTCCCAGCAGATTCCTGGTTATTCCAGGTGGATCCCAGTGGATCCCTGGGATCCCCGTCCCGCCGTCAGTCCTGGAGGATCCCAGTGGATCCCAGCAAATCCCTGGGATCCCCATTCTCACTCTCAGTCCCAGCAGATTCCCGTTTATTCCGGGTGGATCCCAGCGGTTCCCTGGGATCCCCATCCCGTCATCAGTCCCGGTGGATCCTGGTGGATCCCCGTTGTCGCTGTCAGCCCCAGTGGATTCCCGCTGGTTCCAGGAGTTCTCAGTGGATCCCTGGGATCCCCGTTCTTGCTCTCAGTCCCAGCAGATCCCCACTGATCCTGGGAGTTCCCAGCGGATCCCTGGGATCCCCATCCCGCTGTCAGTCCTGGTGGAACCCAGAGAATCCCTGGGATCCCCATTCTTGCTCTCAGTCCCAGCAGATTCCCGCTGATTCCAGGAGTTCCCAGTGGATCCCCGGGATCCCTGCCCCGCTGTCAGTCCCAGCAGATTCCTGGTTATTCCAGGTGGATCCCAGCGGATCCCTGGGATCCCCACTCTTGCTCAGTCCCAGCAGATTCCTGGTTATTCCAGGTGGATCCCAGTGGATCCCTGGGATCCCCGTTCTTGCTCAGTCCCAGCAGATTCCTGGTTATTCCAGGTGGATCCCGGTGGATCCCTGGGATCCCCGTTCTTGCTCTCAGTCCCAGCAGATTCCTGGTTATTCCAGGTGGATCCCAGTGGATCCCTGGGATCCCCGTCCCGCCGTCAGTCCTGGAGGATCCCAGTGGATCCCAGCAAATCCCTGGGATCCCCATTCTCACTCTCAGTCCCAGCAGATTCCCGTTTATTCCGGGTGGATCCCAGCGGTTCCCTGGGATCCCCATCCCGTCATCAGTCCCGGTGGATCCTGGTGGATCCCCGTTGTCGCTGTCAGCCCCAGTGGATTCCCGCTGGTTCCAGGAGTTCTCAGTGGATCCCTGGGATCCCCGTTCTTGCTCTCAGTCCCAGCAGATCCCCACTGATCCTGGGAGTTCCCAGCGGATCCCTGGGATCCCCATCCCGCTGTCAGTCCTGGTGGAACCCAGAGAATCCCTGGGATCCCCATTCTTGCTCTCAGTCCCAGCAGATTCCCGCTGATTCCAGGAGTTCCCAGTGGATCCCCGGGATCCCTGCCCCGCTGTCAGTCCCAGCAGATTCCTGGTTATTCCAGGTGGATCCCAGCGGATCCCTGGGATCCCCACTCTTGCTCAGTCCCAGCAGATTCCTGGTTATTCCAGGTGGATCCCAGTGGATCCCTGGGATCCCCGTTCTTGCTCAGTCCCAGCAGATTCCTGGTTATTCCAGGTGGATCCCAGTGGATCACTGGGATCCCCACTCTTGCTCTCAGTCCCAGCAGATTCCCGTTGATCCTGGGGGGGGTCCCAGTGGATCCCCGTGATCCCCGCCCCGCCGTCAGTCCCGGTGGATCCCGGCGGATCCCGGCGGATCCCGGTCAGATCCGGGGGGATCTGCTGCTCTCTGATTGGTTTGGGGTGATCTCAGCCCCTCCCAACCCCCCTGGATTGATCCCAGCCCCTCCCTGACCCCTGGACATGGGGAAGGGATCCAGGGGGATCCGGGGGGATCCCGGGGGATCTGGGGGGATCTGCTCCTCTCTGATTGGTTTGGGTGCCCTCCCTGATCCTTCTGGATCCATCCCACCCCCCCAGATCGATCCCAGCCCCTCCCTGATGTCTGGACACAGCAAAGGGATCCACAGGGATCCGGGGGGATCCGAGGGGGATCTGCTGCTCTCTGATGGGTTTGGGGTGATCCCAGCTTCTCCCAACCCCCCTGGATTGATCCCAGCCCCTCCCTGACCCCTGGACATGGGAAAGGGATCCTGAGAGATCCCAGGGGGATCTGGGGGGATCTGCTGCTCTCTGATTGGCTTGGGGTGATCTCAGCTCCTCCCAACCCCTCTGGATCGATCCCAGCTCCTCAATGTCTGGACAAGGGAAAGGGATCCAGGGGATCCAAGGGGATCTGGCGGGATCCAAGGGGGATCTGCTCCTCTCTGATTGGTTTGGGGTGATCTCAGCTCCCTCTGGATCACTCGATCCCCATCCCCCTGCCCTCCCCCAGGCTCTCCAGCCCCACAGTGGATCCCTGAGGGATTCCTGAGCTCTGAGGGGATAATTTTGGGTGAGAAAAGCCCCATTGGGGGACCCCAGATTCTCAGTGGATCCCTGAGGGATCCCAGGATATTTCGGGTGACCCCGTCCCCCCAGTGGATCCCCAGGGATCCCAGGATATTCTGGGTAAGAAAAGCCCCACTTGGGAACCCCAGCTCCTCAGTGGATCCCCGAGGGATCCCAGGATATTTCGGGTGACCCCGTCCCCCCAGTGGATCCCCTGGGATCCCCCACCCCTCCTTACCGGCCTTGGCGGCCCCGTTGGGGACGGTGACGGAGATGCCGGAGCAGGGCGGCTTCCGGGGGGCGCGGGGGGCGGGGTCCCGGCTCAGGCTGTTGGTGATCATCCTGCCGGCGGCGCCGCCAGGATCCCGGTGGTGATCCCGGTGGTGATCCCGATCGTGATCCCGCTGATCCCGGTCACGATCCTGCTGATCCTGCTGGGATCCCGCAGCAGCCTCGGGCTGCAGCGCCTCCGAGGCCGCCCGGCACATTTCCTGCGGGGGATCCACCGGGAACGGGGAGGTTCTGGGGGGTCCCGGATCCCGGCGGATCCCGGCGGGTGCCGGCGGATCGCGGGGGATCCCGTACCTGCCTGTGGACCACCTTGGCGTGGCGCAGGATGGCGATGACGTCGCCCACCACGGTGATGCCCAGCTCCTTCATCAGCTCCCTGGTCAGGTCCAGCAGCATGTTCTTGTGGATCCTGCGGGGAAAGGCCGGGATCCACCGGGATCCACCCCAGACCCCCTCGGTCCTGCCTGGGATCCACCCAGAAATCCACTGAAATTCACCCCGATTTCCATGGGATCCACCCAGATCCCCTCGGGAACCCCGGGATCCACCAGGGAACCCTGGGATCCGCTGAGGAACCCCGGAATCCATCAGGGAACCTCAGGATCCAGCAGGGAACCCCGGGATCCACCAGGGAACCCTGGGATCCGCTGAGGAACCCCGGAATCCATCAGGGAACCTCAGGATCCAGCAGGGAACCCCGGGATCCACCAGGGAACCCTGGGATCCGCTGAGGAACCCCGGAATCCATCAGGGAACCTCAGGATCCAGCAGGGAACCCCGGGATCCACCAGGGAACCCTGGGATCCGCTGAGGAACCCCGGAATCCATCAGGGAACCTCAGGATCCAGCAGGGAACCCCGGGATCCACCAGGGAACCCTGGGATCCGCTGAGGAACCCCGGAATCCATCAGGGAACCTCAGGATCCAGCAGGGAACCCCGGGATCCACCAGGGAACCCTGGGATCCGCTGAGGAACCCCGGAATCCATCAGGGAACCTCAGGATCCAGCAGGGAACCCCGGGATCCACCAGGGAACCCTGGGATCCGCTGAGGAACCCCGGAATCCATCAGGGAACCTCAGGATCCAGCAGGGAACCCCGGGATCCACCAGGGAACCCTGGGATCCGCTGAGGAACCCCGGAATCCATCAGGGAACCTCAGGATCCAGCAGGGAACCCCGGGATCCACCAGGGAACCCTGGGATCCGCTGAGGAACCCCGGAATCCATCAGGGAACCTCAGGATCCAGCAGGGAACCCCGGGATCCACCAGGGAACCCTGGGATCCGCTGAGGAACCCCGGAATCCATCAGGGAACCTCAGGATCCAGCAGGGAACCCCGGGATCCACCAGGGAACCCTGGGATCCGCTGAGGAACCCCGGAATCCATCAGGGAACCTCAGGATCCAGCAGGGAACCCCGGGATCCACCAGGGAACCCTGGGATCCGCTGAGGAACCCCGGAATCCATCAGGGAACCTCAGGATCCAGCAGGGAACCCCGGGATCCACCAGGGAACCCTGGGATCCGCTGAGGAACCCCGGAATCCATCAGGGAACCTCAGGATCCAGCAGGGAACCCCGGGATCCACCAGGGAACCCTGGGATCCGCTGAGGAACCCCGGAATCCATCAGGGAACCTCAGGATCCAGCAGGGAACCCCGGGATCCACCAGGGAACCCTGGGATCCGCTGAGGAACCCCGGAATCCATCAGGGAACCTCAGGATCCAGCAGGGAACCCCGGGATCCACCAGGGAACCCTGGGATCCGCTGAGGAACCCCGGAATCCATCAGGGAACCTCAGGATCCAGCAGGGAACCCCGGGATCCACCAGGGAACCCTGGGATCCGCTGAGGAACCCCGGAATCCATCAGGGAACCTCAGGATCCAGCAGGGAACCCCGGGATCCACCAGGGAACCCTGGGATCCGCTGAGGAACCCCGGAATCCATCAGGGAACCTCAGGATCCAGCAGGGAACCCCGGGATCCACCAGGGAACCCTGGGATCCGCTGAGGAACCCCGGAATCCATCAGGGAACCTCAGGATCCAGCAGGGAACCCCGGGATCCACCAGGGAACCCTGGGATCCGCTGAGGAACCCCGGAATCCATCAGGGAACCTCAGGATCCAGCAGGGAACCCCGGGATCCACCAGGGAACCCTGGGATCCGCTGAGGAACCCCGGAATCCATCAGGGAACCTCAGGATCCAGCAGGGAACCCCGGGATCCACCAGGGAACCCTGGGATCCGCTGAGGAACCCCGGAATCCATCAGGGAACCTCAGGATCCAGCAGGGAACCCCGGGATCCACCAGGGAACCCTGGGATCCGCTGAGGAACCCCGGAATCCATCAGGGAACCTCAGGATCCAGCAGGGAACCCCGGGATCCACCAGGGAACCCTGGGATCCGCTGAGGAACCCCGGAATCCATCAGGGAACCTCAGGATCCAGCAGGGAACCCCGGGATCCACCAGGGAACCCTGGGATCCGCTGAGGAACCCCGGAATCCATCAGGGAACCTCAGGATCCAGCAGGGAACCCCGGGATCCACCAGGGAACCCTGGGATCCGCTGAGGAACCCCGGAATCCATCAGGGAACCTCAGGATCCAGCAGGGAACCCCGGGATCCACCAGGGAACCCTGGGATCCGCTGAGGAACCCCGGAATCCATCAGGGAACCTCAGGATCCAGCAGGGAACCCCGGGATCCACCAGGGAACCCTGGGATCCGCTGAGGAACCCCGGAATCCATCAGGGAACCTCAGGATCCAGCAGGGAACCCCGGGATCCACCAGGGAACCCTGGGATCCGCTGAGGAACCCCGGAATCCATCAGGGAACCTCAGGATCCAGCAGGGAACCCCGGGATCCACCAGGGAACCCTGGGATCCGCTGAGGAACCCCGGAATCCATCAGGGAACCTCAGGATCCAGCAGGGAACCCCGGGATCCACCAGGGAACCCTGGGATCCGCTGAGGAACCCCGGAATCCATCAGGGAACCTCAGGATCCAGCAGGGAACCCCGGGATCCACCAGGGAACCCTGGGATCCGCTGAGGAACCCCGGAATCCATCAGGGAACCTCAGGATCCAGCAGGGAACCCCGGGATCCACCAGGGAACCCTGGGATCCGCTGAGGAACCCCGGAATCCATCAGGGAACCTCAGGATCCAGCAGGGAACCCCGGGATCCACCAGGGAACCCTGGGATCCGCTGAGGAACCCCGGAATCCATCAGGGAACCTCAGGATCCAGCAGGGAACCCCGGGATCCACCAGGGAACCCTGGGATCCGCTGAGGAACCCCGGAATCCATCAGGGAACCTCAGGATCCAGCAGGGAACCCCGGGATCCACCAGGGAACCCTGGGATCCGCTGAGGAACCCCGGAATCCATCAGGGAACCTCAGGATCCAGCAGGGAACCCCGGGATCCACCAGGGAACCCTGGGATCCGCTGAGGAACCCCGGAATCCATCAGGGAACCTCAGGATCCAGCAGGGAACCCCGGGATCCACCAGGGAACCCTGGGATCCGCTGAGGAACCCCGGAATCCATCAGGGAACCTCAGGATCCAGCAGGGAACCCCGGGATCCACCAGGGAACCCTGGGATCCGCTGAGGAACCCCGGAATCCATCAGGGAACCTCAGGATCCAGCAGGGAACCCCGGGATCCATCAGGACAAAATAAGGATCCAGGAGGGGAGTGCAAAACCCGGGATCCACCAGGGATCCCCCGGGATCCACCGGGGATCCCCCGGGGCGTACCTGGAGCGGGCGGCAGGCGCAGGATCTGGCGGCCGCGGGCCGCGGCGCCCTTGGGCAGCGAGATCACGTACTGGCCCTCGGCCTCGGCCGTCACCCGGCGCCGCTTGGGCGGCAGCGCCGGCGCCGCGGGAGCCGATCCGCCTGCCGCGGGAGAGGGAGCCAGGGAGCGCGGGATCCCGGGGATCCGGGGGGATCTGCTGCTCTCTGATTGGTTTGGGGTGATCCCAGCTCCTCCCACCCCCTCTGGATTGATCCCAGCCCCTCCCTGACCCCTGGACATGGGGAAGGGATCCAGGGGGATCCGGGGGGATCCCGGGGGATCTGGGGGGATCTGCTCCTCTCTGATTGGTTTGGGTGCCCTCCCTGATCCTTCTGGATCCATCCCACCCCCCCAGATCGATCCCAGCCCCTCCCTGATGTCTGGACACAGCAAAGGGATCCACAGGGATCCGGGGGGATCCGAGGGGGATCTGCTGCTCTCTGATGGGTTTGGGGTGATCCCAGCTTCTCCCAACCCCCCTGGATTGATCCCAGCCCCTCCCTGACCCCTGGACATGGGAAAGGGATCCTGAGAGATCCCAGGGGGATCTGGGGGGATCTGCTGCTCTCTGATTGGCTTGGGGTGATCTCAGCTCCTCCCAACCCCTCTGGATCGATCCCAGCTCCTCAATGTCTGGACAAGGGAAAGGGATCCAGGGGATCCAAGGGGATCTGGCGGGATCCAAGGGGGATCTGCTCCTCTCTGATTGGTTTGGGGTGATCTCAGCTCCCTCTGGATCACTCGATCCCCATCCCCCTGCCCTCCCCCAGGCTCTCCAGCCCCACAGTGGATCCCTGAGGGATTCCTGAGCTCTGAGGGGATAATTTTGGGTGAGAAAAGCCCCATTGGGGGACCCCAGATTCTCAGTGGATCCCTGAGGGATCCCAGGATATTTCGGGTGACCCCGTCCCCCCAGTGGATCCCCAGGGATCCCAGGATATTCTGGGTAAGAAAAGCCCCACTTGGGAACCCCAGCTCCTCAGTGGATCCCCGAGGGATCCCAGGATATTTCGGGTGACCCCGTCCCCCCAGTGGATCCCCTGGGATCCCCCACCCCTCCTTACCGGCCTTGGCGGCCCCGTTGGGGACGGTGACGGAGATGCCGGCGCCGGGCGGCTTCCGGGGGGCGCGGGGGGCGGGGTCCCGGCTCAGGCTGTTGGTGATCATCCTGCCGGCGGCGCCGCCAGGATCCCGGTGGTGATCCCGGTGGTGATCCCGATCGTGATCCCGCTGATCCCGGTCATGATCCCGCTGATCCCGCTGGGATCCCGTGGCAGCCTCGGGCTGCAGCGCCTCCGAGGCCGCCCGGCACATCTCCTGCGGGGGATCCACCAGGAACGGGGAGGTTCTGGGGGGTCCCGGATCCCGGCGGATCCCGGCGGATCCCGGCGGGGGCCGGGGGATCCCGTACCTGCCTGTGGACCACCTTGGCGTGGCGCAGGATGGCGATGACGTCGCCCACCACGGTGATGCCCAGCTCCTTCATCAGCTCCCTGGTCAGGTCCAGCAGCATGTTCTTGTGGATCCTGCGGGGAAAGGCCGGGATCCACCGGGATCCACCCCAGACCCCCTCGGTCCTGCCTGGGATCCACCCAGAAATCCACTGAAATTCACCCCGATTTCCATGGGATCCACCCAGATCCCCTCGGTTTTATTTTTGTCTGCCCAGGATCCACCCGGGATCCACCCCAGACCCCCTCGGTCCTGCCTGGGATCCACCCAGAAATCCACTGAAATTCACCCCGATTTCCATGGGATCCACCCAGATCCCCTCAGTTTTAGCTGTGTCTGCCTGAGATCCACCCAGGAATCCCCTTGGTTCTGCCTGGGATCCACCCAGGGATCCACGAGGATTTCCTCAGTTCTGCCTGGGATCCACCCAAATTCCACTGAAATCCACCCAGATTTCCATGGGATCCACCCAGACCTCCCCCCGGATCCACCTGGATTCCCTCAGATCTGCCTGAGGCCCAGCTGGATTCCACTGAAACCCACCCAGATTCCCACGGGATCCACTCAGATCCCCTCAGTCCTGCCTGGGATCCACCCGGATCCACCGAAACCCACCCAGATTCCCACGGGACCCACTCAGATTCCTCCAGGGATCCACCCTCCATTCCCAGAGGTCTCTCCCCCATTCCCGGGGGTCTCTCCCAGGGGTCTCTCCCCCATTTTCAGGGCTCTCTCTCCCCCATTCCCGGGGGTGTCTCCCCCATTCCCGGGGGTCTCTCCCAGGGGTCTCTCCCCCATTTTCAGGGCTCTCTCTCCCCCATTCCCGGGGGTGTCTCCCCCATTCCCGGGGGTCTCTCTCCCCCATTCCCGGGGGTCTCTCCCCGAATTCGGGGGTCTCTCTCCCCCGTTGCCCACCTGTTGTCCACGAAGGCGACGGCGTAGCCGAGCGCGGGGCCCGGCGGGATCCCGGCGTCCTCGAAGAATCGCAGCCACTCCCCGGTGGCTGGGGGGAAACGGGGGCAAAACGGGGAAAATGGGGAAAATGAGAGAAAATGAGAGAAAATTGGGGGAAACGGGGGGAAAACGGGGAAAATGGGGAAAATGAGAGAAAATGAGAGAAAATGGGGGGAAATGGGGGGAAATGGGGAAAAATGAGAGAGAAATGAGAGAAAAATGAGAGAAAAATGAGAGAAAAATGAGAGAAAATGGGGGAAATGGGGAAAAAATGGGAAAAAATGGGGAAAAACGGGGGAAAATGGGGAAAAACGGGGGGAAAATGAGAGAAAATGAGAGAAAATGAGAGAAAATGAGAGAAAAATAATGAAAGAAAATTAAGAGAAAATGGAGGAAATGGGGAAAAAATGGGGGAAAATGGGGAAAATAGGGGAAAACTGGAGAAAGAGGGAAAAAACGGGGCAGAAATGGGGAAAAATGGGAAAAAACCAAAAAATTTGGGTGGAAATTGGGTGAGGAACAGGGGAAAGTAGCCAAGAAATGGGGAAAAATGGGGGAAATTGGGAAAAATGGGGAAAAATGGGGAAAAAATGTGGAAAAATGGGAAAAAAAACAGGGAAAATCCAAAAAATCGGGGACGTTTGGAGACCTTGTCCCAGGGCAGGTGAGTTTGGAGCCCCCCAGGTGTGCCCAGGTGAGTTTGGAGCCCCCCAGGTGTGCCCAGGTGAGTTTGGAGCCCCCCAGGTGCGCCCAGGTGTGCCCAGGTGAGTTTGGAGCCCCCAGGTGTGCCCAGGTGAGTTTGGAGCCCCCCAGGTGCCCCCAGGTGCCCCCAGGTGTGCCCAGGTGAGTTTGGAGCCCCCCAGGTGTGCCCAGGTGAGTTTGGAGCCCCCCAGGTGTGCCCAGGTGAGTTTGGAGCCCCCCAGGTGTGCCCAGGTGCCCCCAGGTGTGCCCAGGTGTGCCCCTCACCCTCGTTGTGCTGCGCTCGCCGTCGCTCGTCCCGCGGCACCCGCGGCCCCTCCAGCTTCCTGCGGGCACAGGTGGGCACAGGTGGGCACAGGTGCGTCCCCAAGCACCCCCAGGTGTGCCCAGGTGCCCCCAAACCTCCCCCAGGTATCTCCAGGATCCCCCCAGGTGTGCCCAGGTGTGCCCAGGTATCTCCAAGTGCCCCCAGGTGTGCCCAGGTATTCCCCAGGTGTGCCCAGGTGCCCTCCAGGTATCCCCAAACCTCCCCCAGGTATCCCCAGGATCCCCTCAGGTGTGCCCAGGTGCCCTCCAGGTGCGCCCAAACCTCCCCCAGGTGTGCCCAGGTGTACCCAGGTGTGCCCAGGTACCCCTCAGGTGCCCCCCAGGTGCCCCCAGGTGTGGTTCCCCCCCCAGGATATTCTGGGTAAGAAAAGCCCCACTTGGGAACCCCAGCTCCTCAGTGGATCCCCGAGGGATCCCAGGATATTTCGGGTGACCCCGTCCCCCCAGTGGATCCCCAGGGATCCCAGGATATTCTGGGTAAGAAAAGCCCCACTTGGGAACCCCAGCTCCTCAGTGGATCCCCGAGGGATCCCAGGATATTTCGGGTGACCCCGTCCCCCCAGTGGATCCCCAGGGATCCCAGGATATTCTGGGTAAGAAAAGCCCCACTTGGGAACCCCAGCTCCTCAGTGGATCCCCGAGGGATCCCAGGATATTTCGGGTGACCCCGTCCCCCCAGTGGATCCCCAGGGATCCCAGGATATTCTGGGTAAGAAAAGCCCCACTTGGGAACCCCAGCTCCTCAGTGGATCCCCGAGGGATCCCAGGATATTTCGGGTGACCCCGTCCCCCCAGTGGATCCCCAGGGATCCCAGGATATTCTGGGTAAGAAAAGCCCCACTTGGGAACCCCAGCTCCTCAGTGGATCCCCGAGGGATCCCAGGATATTTCGGGTGACCCCGTCCCCCCAGTGGATCCCCAGGGATCCCAGGATATTCTGGGTAAGAAAAGCCCCACTTGGGAACCCCAGCTCCTCAGTGGATCCCCGAGGGATCCCAGGATATTTCGGGTGACCCCGTCCCCCCAGTGGATCCCCAGGGATCCCAGGATATTCTGGGTAAGAAAAGCCCCACTTGGGAACCCCAGCTCCTCAGTGGATCCCCGAGGGATCCCAGGATATTTCGGGTGACCCCGTCCCCCCAGTGGATCCCCAGGGATCCCAGGATATTCTGGGTAAGAAAAGCCCCACTTGGGAACCCCAGCTCCTCAGTGGATCCCCGAGGGATCCCAGGATATTTCGGGTGACCCCGTCCCCCCAGTGGATCCCCCACCCCTCCTTACCGGCCTTGGCGGCCCCGTTGGGGACGGTGACGGAGATGCCGGCGCCGGGCGGCTTCCGGGGGGCGCGGGGGGCGGGGTCCCGGCTCAGGCTGTTGGTGATCATCCTGCCGGCGGCGCCGCCAGGATCCCGGTGGTGATCCCGGTGGTGATCCCGATCGTGATCCCGCTGATCCCGGTCATGATCCCGCTGATCCCGCTGGGATCCCGTGGCAGCCTCGGGCTGCAGCGCCTCCGAGGCCGCCCGGCACATCTCCTGCGGGGGATCCACCAGGAACGGGGAGGTTCTGGGGGGTCCCGGATCCCGGCGGATCCCGGCGGATCCCGGCGGGTGCCGGGGGATCCCGTACCTGCCTGTGGACCACCTTGGCGTGGCGCAGGATGGCGATGACGTCGCCCACCACGGTGATGCCCAGCTCCTTCATCAGCTCCCTGGTCAGGTCCAGCAGCATGTTCTTGTGGATCCTGCGGGGAAAGGCCGGGATCCACCAGGATCCACCCCAGACCCCCTCGGTCCTGCCTGGGATCCACCCAGAAATCCACTGAAATTCACCCCGATTCCCATGGGATCCACCCAGATCCCCTCGGTTTTATTTTTGTCTGCCCAGGATCCACCCGGGATCCACCCCAGACCCCCTCGGTCCTGCCTGGGATCCACCCAGAAATCCACGGAAATTCACCCCGATTTCCATGGGATCCACCCAGATCCCCTCAGTTTTAGCTGTGTCTGCCCGGGATCCACCCGGGATCCACCCCAGACCCCCTCGCGTCTGACTGGGATCCACCCGGATCCACCCTGGATTTCCTCGGTCCTGCCTGGGATCCACCCGGATCCCCTCAGCTCTACCTGGATCTGCTTGGGATTCACCCGGAATCCACTGAAATCCACCCCAACTTCCACAGGATCCGCTCAGATCCCCCCCGGGATCCACCCTCCACTCCCAGGGGTCTCTCTCCCCCATTCCCGG